GGGTGTAGTTCGATTGAACTTTTCAGGCGCGCTGCTAACAAAGTCGCAGTGGCCATGATGATTTCCAATCTCCGCTAGGAGTGGCACGAGAAGAAGAAGAAGATATTTTGAAAACTTCAATTCATTACAGAAATATTTTTAGGGAAATTAAATAATAAAACCTTATATTTACCCAATAAATATATATAAAGTTTTATTATTATTTAGGTTATATTATCAATAAAATAATCACTAGAGTAAAATTTATTCCACTTAAAATACAGTGTCAAACAGTTAATCTTACAATCAAATGCAGTCAAGAATCTCTAGAAATTTTAAATATTAAGTACTTAAGCATATAAATAACACAATACATTAACACATTTAAAAAGATTATTAAAAATACAAAAGATATAAAATTTGTTCAGTAAAAACTTAGTGTAACTATTATGATTAAAAAATTCATCCTAAGAAATCAGACACAATATAAATATGGTTCTAAATTAATCTAATTGAAAATTAAATATTTTACTATTTACTTATAACTTTTGTTGAATTTTCATACTTAGGTATACGAAAGTAGCAATTTTAAATATGAATAGCTTTTTTGTCATATTGACCAAGTTAAGAGAGGTATACATGAAAAATGTGTTGAATGTAACATACCATTTATAACTTGTATATCGATTTAAAATAGCCTATATTCTCAAAAGATTTTTGAATGTAATACTCAAATTTGTTATCACTTATTTAAAAAGCAGATCTAAATGAGAATTGTTAATTTACTATATTGTAAACTCCATTTCAAATCATTACTACTTAATCTATTCTTACCTACATTGACGATTACACTAAAATTACTGCTAACTATTACACTATGTATTACACAAATATTATCACACTTGAGTCCCAACTGATTAATGTTTAATACATAGAAATATACACAGTCACTTGTAATTTTACTTGTCCAGTTTTTCAATGGGATATTATTGTCTAAGTCTAATTGTCATAATTATGTTATCTCTTGTTCCCTCTTCTTATGCAAAAAGTTTCTTCTGTCTTCGGGATTCCTTCTTTCTTTAGTACGATGAACAGTTACATATAACAGGTACTTCAGGAAATATATTAGGAACTGCATTGCCTTTTAATTTGGGAAATATTAAGTTTTCAATGTGTACATTTCCATTTTTATCTTCTCATTGTTCAGTCCGCTGAATATCATCTTCATGAAAATGTTTGGCACATACTACGGAAGATTTGGTAATTGTATAGCCTTCTCTATGAATAGAGCATTGGAGATCTTTGGGAAACGAAAACGTACTTTCTGCCTGTTTCGTTTTTAAAGTACTGGCATAATTGGTTTTGCAACCAGGTACACAACAATGCCAGAGTATCTGTAACAAAAAACAAAAGTATTATTATTGTTGTTTTTAGTTTACATATTTTGTAACAAGAAGCAAAAGTATTATTATTTTCAGTTTGTTTTGTAGGTTATATTTATACTTGCCTTTTAAATTGTCGTTAAGAATCTTCTAAAAGTTCTAAATTTAATGAAATTTCACTTATATTAATATTTTCTAATTGATTTAAACACAATTTACAAATAAAACATTCGAATAAAGTTAAAAAAACAATAAATTCAACAAACTTTACAAGCCTTCCTATATGAAATGTTAAACAAAACAAACCCACGGTCGGACTACCACGCGTTGTTGCCAAATTTCTACTTCATGGCTTGGAAGTAAAGGTGGCTGTGCTCTAACCGTTTATTTTTTAAAATGGTTCAAAATATCTGATAATTTCTAATTAGGGTAATGTGAACGTTAGAATTAATTTCATGTAAATTTTTTTTGAGGTGTTATTTGAATACAATAACGAAATAAATTATTTTTATTATTGAAATAAAAACAAAAGCATAAAAAATATAAAAATAAGGCAGTAAAGCAATACAAACAATAAAAATATATTAAAAAAACGTTAACTATATATGAAGGAAGTCATAAAAACAGTTTTTTCCAGTGTAATACATAAACTCAGACCGCATTTAATGCAGTACACTTGTGTCTCAGACTTCTTACAATATTTGCATCTTCTCTTTGCGGTTTTATTATACGTACCTGGATCATGATCTATACCGCCATATCGCACATCATCTGGTGGACGAAGCGAGCTTGTTCCAGTCCTAGACACATTGGGTTGGGCTGTCCAATTTGGAGGTCTTCCTACAGTACGGACTGGTGCGTATTTGCAGATATGCTCAACTCTTTGCTCGCGAAACAATGGCAATTGTTGACTATTGTATTCTTTGATGATTTATGGACAGTTCACGCCAATGTATCCCTTTTTTTCTATCATAACGAACTGCTTTGGTTGTTGTTGATCAAGTGTTCGTTTGAATGGCTGTTGTCCTACATAAGTGGAAGCCAGACGTACATTTTTTGTATCTTTCCAAAGTACTGTACTTATATCAATACCATATGCACAGCCACCTTTACTTCCAAGCCATGAAGCAAAAAAGGCAACTCTGCATTCTATGACGTCGGTAGTCCGATAATCAGCTGTAAGGTCTACCACATACCAGAAAATTAAACTAATTTATTTGAATTTTAGGAAACTGATATTTTGAAAACTTAAATTCATTACAGAAATATTTTTAGGGAAATTAAATTAATAAAACTTTATATATACCTAATAAATCTATATAAAGTTTTATTATTATTAAGGTTATATTATCAATAAAATAATCATTAGAGTAAAATTGATTGCACTTAAAATACAGTGTCAAACAGTTAATCTTACAATCAAATGCAGTCAATAATCTCTAGAAATTTTAAATATTAAGTCCTTAAGCATATAAATAACACAATACATTAACACGACATTTAAAAAGATTATTAAAAATACAAAAGATATAAAATTTGTTAAGCAAAAACTTAGTGTAACTATTATGATTAAAAAATTCATCCTAAGAAATCAGACACAATATAAATATGGTTCTAAATTAATCTAATTGAAAATTAAATATTTTACTATTTACTTATAACTTTTGTTGAATTTTATATATGAATAGGTTTTTTGTCATATAGAAAAAGTTAAAAGAGGTATACATGAAAAATGTGTTGAATGTAACATACCATTTATAACTTGTATATCGATTTAAAATAGCCTATATTCTCAAAAGATTTTTGAATGTAATGCTATATGCTCGAATCTATATCGAGAAAGTAAGTTCTCTAATTGTGACCATCTTGTTAATTTACTATATTGTAAAATCCATTTCAAATCATTACTACTTAATCTATTCTTACCTACATTGACGATTACACTAAAATTACTGCTAACTATTACACTACTTATTACACAAATATTATCACACTAGTGTCCCAACTGATTAATGTTTAATACATAGAAATATACACAGTCACTTGTAATTTTACTTGTCCAGTTTTTCAATGGGATATTATTGTCTAAGACTCTTAAAAATGATTCAAATGAATCTATTAAATCATTGTCTAAGAATTCTGTTATCTCTTGTTCCCTCTTCTTATGCAAAAAGTGTCTTCTGTCTTCGGGATTCCTTCTTTATTTAGTACGATGAACAGTTACATATGACGGTACTTCAGAAAATATATTAGGAACTGCATTGTCTTTTAATTTGGGAAATATTAACTTTTCAATGTGTACATTTCCATCTTTATCTTCTCATTGTTCAGTCCGCTGAATATCATTTTCATGAAAATGTTTGGTACATACTACGGAAGATTTGGTAATTGTATAGCCGTCTCTATGAATAGAACATATCCCAGTATACCTTCGTTGGGGATCTTTGGGAAACGAAAACGTACTTTCTGTCTGTTTCGTTTTTAAAGTACTGGCATAATTGGTTTTGGTTTTGTACACAACAATGCCAGGGCATCTGTAACAAAAAACAAAAGTATTATTATTGTTGTTTTTAGTTTACATATTTTGTAACAAGAAGTAAAAGTATTATTATTTTCAGTTTGTTTTGTAGGTTATATTTATACTTGCCTTTTAAATTGTCGTTAAGAATCTTCTAAACTTAATGAAATTTCACTTATATTAATATTTTCTAATTGATTTAAACACAATTTACAAATAAAACATTCGAATAAAGTTAAAAAAAAACACTAAATTCAACAAACTTTACAAGCCTTCCTATATGAAATGTTAAACAAAACAAACCACGGTCGGACTACCACGCTTTGTTGCCAAATTTCTACTTCATGGCTTGGAAGTAAAGGTGGCTGTGCCATATGCCATCCCTGTATATTCCACAGTATATCCCCTTGCTTCTTTGGTCGGTTGTTTATCTTTATCGGCTGGTAATTTACAGTTACTAATCCGATTGGCTCGAATAATTCTCAATGAATAAATACCCCGTGCAGGAAGATACTCTAGCAGTGACAACGAAGTGTAAAAGTTATTGAAGTAGAGATTGTAATTTTTAAAGTCATGGATAGTCTGAGACAATCGAATAACTATAATTTGACGCTGCACCAAGATCAGGATTTCCTGGAAGGGTAACGTTATCACCAGCTTCATTGTAAATTTAACAACACTGAATATAAGGACAGCACTGAATTCTTCTCGTGAATATGAGTATAGTTGATGTATTTGTCTATTGTTATTACCAATAATGTATTACTCGAAGTTGTTTATCGTGTAAAAGAGCATGCACCAATTAGTATTAAGTTTAACATGCATATTTAACAGTAATCCATTTAGTAATAATTATAAAAAATATTCGTACCACCATTTGTTTTTAATTGTCTGATTTAATAACTATTGTCACTAGTTTTTTTACACCTTTTTCATAAATTTCATGAATTTGAATTTTGTTATTCAATATTTTAGTGCGATATAAATCTTTAATTGTGTTATTCTGAATAATTTGTTAATTATTGACAAGCACTATATTGAATAGCATATTCGTTCTGTTTGTTTCTCGCATCTGCATATGTGTTTATAACACCATTTTGTTATTAAAATACTCATTACAGCCTGAAGAATCACTATCAGATGATTTCCTATTTCCAATGTCTTCTCTAAGGCTATCTTATGCCAGCTCACCAGAAAGTGATCTGGAACACAGTCCAGGTCCCCCAACGTCGCCAACTTTAACTGGAAATGGAGGAAATGCGGGAAGGTTGACAAAAGCCAGTTCAGATCCTAGTGTAGTCATGCCGGATAGTAGCACAAATGATGTACTACCACCCTATCAGGTAAGTTGTGAATTTTATTAATGTATCTAAAAATATTGATTAAAATTATCGTCGTATTACATTTTTCAGCCGAGTTACGATGCCAGATATGGATTTAACAATCAAGAGCAGCAACAGCCTCCTTCAGACCCTCAACTTACCCCAACAGATTCTCCCTTAGTGAAAGAAGCCCCTTTTGCACTTTCCAATCCGGATATTCCCTCAGGAATAGATCCGCAAAGTCCGTACGGAAAAACTCAAAATTTTAATGATAAGGTACCTATGTACACATCGGAGTCTTACCAGAAACCGGAATATCCCAAAATACCGGATCCTAGACATGATCTCTATGCAGCTCCTGAAAGAAAGTAAGTAAAACATAACCAAGTGAATAATCTTTCTTGTCTGTACTTGGTTTTAGTTATGTTTAAACTATTAAGTACATGCAAACTTTTGCTTGCCATTTTTTTAATTTTTCAAATATTTTTTAGAAGTGATTATAATGGCGATAAATCCATGCAACATAAAAGACAAGCAAGTACTCTCCATGGGGTTTATAACCATTCTAAAGGACATAGTATTGCTGAACAGAGTCCTGCGAAAGATGGAGTTTATGGGCAGGTACCAGATCTCCCTCCACGCGTGGATAGAGCTGCCAAACCCATGGGGTTACTAACCACTTCAAACAAAATACCTAATGGGTACGTTCAGTACGTTGACTGCATATTTTTGTTCTTTTAGTTATGTTTGTATCTCAAGGCTTTTGCATATTAATTTGTAAATCGCACTTTTCATTAGACATGTATGGCGTGAGAGTCTAATTAACATCTGATCTAATCTTAGAAGACAAACTAAAGCAGTATTAACATCATTAGAAATCCTAAGAATTCCTACTTGGTGAAACTAAATTCAAATTTTTACCCCTGCACTTTCTACAACTTGCAAAGCAGACAGATTGATAATTTAGCTGACAAGGGAATATTTACGAAACATTTTTAAAAATTTTTAAAACATATTCAATCAACAATTTCATTTTCTCAGGACTTTTCAGTAAACTTTTTAGACTATTTTTGAAATTACTGAACAGTTTGCTGTTTGTACTGCCCCAGGTCAGATGGTAGGCATTCGTATCATAGATAATGATTAATTACAGTTAGTTTTTCATGCAATCCCTCACTAGCTATTCTAGCTCCCTTGATGGTTGTTCGGGATCATCATATGGGAGGGATGCTGATCTGAGAACTATCTCCTTCAAAATGCCTCCCTCTATCTTGACCTTTATCTTGGCTGTCATTCAGTCTGTGGAACAGAGATCACAACCAGTCTTCTGTGTTAAGGTCTTGATTTTTCCTCTTTAGATGGGTCCTGATGGTTTATTTATCAAGCTCTTTCACGAAGATGCGGGTGAGGACTATGGGGCGCTTGGGCATATTATTTGGATCAATTATGAAGTTTGCTTCCTCCCACAGGTCTTCAATAGTCTTCACCACTTCAGTCGTCCATTTTTTTGTATACTCGTTAATACAGTTCACCCACAGGGTCCCTTCGCTAAACGATCTTTTATGAAACCACAGAAGTTCATTTTGACCTCCAATAGCATCATCAAGTGCTCCAGTTTGTTAATGATCAAATTTGCTTGAGCCCGATCTAATTGAGTATCAGGGTGTGTCTGTGTTTACCACCATTCTGAGTACTTTTGTTACGGTACTTTATGACCTAGTCTGCTCATTAGAACCCCTTGGTTTCTTAGAAACTCTGTCACTAGGGGGTGTCACTTTCCCGAAGTCTCTTAATCCTCGAGTGTTGCTGATTTAGTTTTCTTGGGATTTGCTATGGGTATGTCCCAGCAGTCATTTTTGTCTTTTTTCTCATCTTCTTTTGTTGAGCTCTAGAGAGGAGTTATTTGAGACTTACTTATTTATTTTTTTAATTTAAAAATCTGAAATTATACTTCACAATTTCGAAAAATAAATCTTTGTTGTATGTGCTAAAAAGCAATTCTAGCGTACTAACAAGATAAGGAATTGTTTTTTGATCGAAAAAACTTACAATGTATGGGCTTGCTCTCCCGGTGATTGACTTTTAATTAATTTTATTAATAAGAAGAGCACTTTTAAATTAAAAATGAATCATAATAATTGTTCTACAAATATTCAATTCAATTATTAAAAGTTAAATTATTTTCTTCAAAAAATTTTGTGTGTAAAAAAGTGCAAAAATTTAATACGACCTACGACCACGCGGCTTCTACATATAAAAATATCTAAAGTTGCATTTGTTGCCCCACTCTCATATTTTAGAAGCAGTAATAACGCTGACATGAAATAAGGAACTAAAATCTTGATCCACCTCTGCTTCTTTTTTATAACATGTGTATAACCTTTGCCGACGCTAAAAAATGACAGTGAAAGATCCTTCTATATGCGTCTATATTCTTTGGTGATAATAAAACGCTATGAATTTTTATTTTTTGTTTTTATTGTAGACGATCTGCTCACGAGAGGTTATTTGGAACAAAAGCTACAGCTCACGGAGAAAATGTTGATCCAAATGCAAATGAAAATGGTAATTTTAACAATAAAGCTGGATCATTAGAAAGAAGTCAAAATTCCAAATCGGTAAGATTTTTAATATGTATGATAATCCTAATCATTTGAAATCCACAATTTTTATTTCGGATTTTAATAATCAATAGTTCTAAACGATGTAGTACTTGGCAAATTCACAAAATACATTACTGCGTCCAACATCTTGTGTGTAAAGAAACTTTTATATGCCTATATACAGAGTGAGTTTTATGTATGGAATGCCTTTGTTGTGTACCCTATAGACTATCCTATTCACTTTCCCCAAATCCCATAATAATGAATTTATCTCATAATAATGAGTTTACCTGACTTGCGATGAAGCGCCACCTACCGACAAATTTTCTAATATGTCTACCTACACCCAGTGTTACTACCAAATTTGTATATTTTTACTCGTGACTACATTTCCATAAAAACTTATTATATTATTCGATATGTAACTTATTTCATGGCTTTGAGAAAAAAGTTAGTTTTGAAATTTTGAATCTTTCAAATAAATCTTATTTAAGGACTCTCTCTCGAGTTACGATTCATACAACAAGCAAGCTACCACCCGTATAGGACCCAACGCTCACGATGACCTCAAAACGACACTATCCAAAATCGACACAACGGGAACTATCCCAACAATTCAAAATAGCCCTTCAAAGTACAATATGGGTCCTAGATGGGATCAGAATTCACATAGGCTTGGTTCTAAAATGGACCTTAAGTACGTATTACCGCCAGGAGAACATTTGGACAACAGTCCTAGGAATTCTCGAGAAATGAGCAAAGACAGTCCGATGGATCCTGCAAGTCCAAGAGGTTCGGTAGAAAGAGACATATACAGGTTTGTTAGACAAATTAACTTTACTTAAAATGCTCTTTGATAACTGTAAACTACTTTTCAGGTATTCGAAGAGTCCTGCGAAACAAACTATTACTGGAAAGACCATGGTTGAAACTAAAACTGATTATGGTAAATACAGGTAAGTTCTATTCATCTATTGGCGTGATTTACATTTATTAAAATTAAATTTATTCATATTTTAAAAGAAAATAAAAATTATAATTTGTACAAAAAAGGTCATTCAACGTCTATAGTTTATTTTTATGAACGAGAGAGTAATTAGCATAATTTTAACTGGTACCTCTGACCACTCCATGGGCGTGCTCAAGATTAATTGAAAAATTACTTTGAATAATTGTAAAAAATAAATGAATTATTTCAGTGTTATAAAGTGTTTGTGTATGTAAACAAAAGTGACCTCTTTTATCACACACTATATTAGAACTGACTGGCCTACATTAAAAAGAGTTTTAAAAAATTCACATTTTTTTTTATTTTTAAAAATTACAAAAGAGAAAAAGAGTTTTTAAAACCGTCTAAGGTATGTTAAATAAATGAATAAAAATATTAATATAAAACTTACAGCTACATGTTACAAATCCAAATCAGATTCAGAAGATGAACTTTCAGAACCAAGATTTATAATAACTGGCTCGATCATTATATCAGTAATATTGTCCAGCTTCCACATTTTTTCCTCTTCTTTAATAGTGTGATTTACTGCCTTTTCCCAGTTTTCAGGTTTTACATTATTTACGGCCTCCAAAAACAACTGTTTAACATCATGAATTTTAAAAGTGGTATTTTTTCTTGAAACTTCACTTTTTATCTGTGCCCATACCAGTTCAATCGGGTTTAATTCACAATGATATGGTGGGGATCTAAGTACTGTCATTCCACGATTTTTGGCAATTTCATCAATTTCGTATTTTTTAAATTTTTCTTTATGAAGGGCACACAACGAATAAAGTTCCTTTCTTATAGATCCGGGATGGTACGTAATATTTTTTGAACTCAGCCAATTCTGCAAGTCTTTTTTTAACCACTTGGTTGTGGGCAGTCCTTCTATAAGTCTGGAGTAATAACTTACATTATCCATTACTATTACACAGTTCTTAGGAAGAAGATCTATCATTTGTTCGAACCATTCTTGAAAGACATCAGCGTTCTTGTCTTCATGGTAGTCACCGGTACGAGTTGATTCAAAAGTTAATAAACCACCTTCAACAAAACCGTCTGAACTGCCAATGTGTACTATTATCAGCCTGCGTCCCTTTCCTGATGGTGGGTTTAAACCAGTAGATAAGTTATTTACAAAAGCGTGCCTTTGACTTGTAACAGTTTCATCCTGCCAAAATTTATTTGGTGTATGACCCTCGTTGATCCATGTTTCATCAAGATAAAATATTTTTCTTTTTTGGTTTCTCATTTCCTTTATGGTTCTTAGAAAATGTCTTCTCCATATGACAATATCGCTTCTTTCTAATAAAATAGACTTTCTGGGATTCTTTTTCCAGCGGAAGCCTATTTCTTTTAAAAGTTTCCATAACGTACTTCGACTCATTTCTGGGTAATCCTTATCATCTCGAACTGAGACAAGAACTTTATCCAATGTTGGAAATTCTTGTCTAAAGAAGAATTCATGCACTTTCCGTCGAAGTCCTTCTTTAAAATGATATTCTATTTGAAATTTTGGTTTCCCTGGAGCATTACGTGGCATTTGAAAACTACCACATTTCTCTTCTTTAATAACTCTGTAAATCGTAGATTTCCCAACACCAAGTGTACTGCTAACTAACTCAACGGTCTCATCAACACTTTCACATAAACGTTTGTCTGTAAATGATTTAAAACAATTAAATATTAATGTTTTTTCATTAACTATTAAAGGTCCAATTTTTCGGCGTTTACACGGCACTTCCAAATTTTCCATAACACTAGTATACACAATAAACTGCACCTTGGAACTGAAGTACCTACTTTTAGTGAACTGATAAGAATTTTGAATACGCCACTTGGACCTTCCTACAAAATGGAAAAACCCACTATCACATTTTCTGTGGAATAAGTTTAGAAGGTAATTATCTAGTCAATTACTGTCGTAGATTCCTGGAATTAAAGAATTAAATGTTTGATTGTTGAAACCCTTACTTCGTGGAATGCACTCATTTCAGATAAAATAAAACGTTTTATTTTATTTAAAGAATTAAACTTTATTTTGCAAATAGGTAGGTACTTATTAAACTTTTATTGGTTATATATAACCAATAAAATAAACATCTTACATTTCTTGCAAATTCATTAGTACCTACCTGTTAACCTCCATCACTCCGACACTGGCAACCTTATTTAGGGATTAGTAACCCTCACAACTATTGTATTCTATTCTGCTCCAACCTTTATACCTGGTGGTCATACTCAATTTAAAATTGTTTTCCTATATACTTCTGTAAACTTGTTGACAAATATCTGTTTTTCATTGAGTCACCCGTATCAACAGTTTAGGGATTTGCATACATAATTTATTGTTTTATTACTCTCTCATACATAAAAATACACTATAGGTTAAGTAGATGTCAATACATCCTCGTATATAGAATCATCAACGTTGAAGTTTTGCAGTAACGATCAAAGACTGCAAAATTATGCATTTAAAACTCTAAAAATTGCAATATTTGAATAATAGGGTGATAAAAATGCTTCAAAATGATACGAAATGTTTCAATGAAATCCAACCAAACATCGCAGTTAAATGTAGTGTAGAAATAGGGGAGTGTCAAGTGATTCTTATAGAAGCTTTTAATAAAGTACGTAATTTTATAATGATCGTCAAACTTTAAAAGGAGATTGGTGCTACAATAAACATAATTTCAAACAAAATCTTTAAAAACAAAGACCCTCTACCATGGACGTATAAACACAGATGGACTCAGTTATTTACATAAAATTGTGTAGTCAAAATTATTTGAATAGTTCACATTCTCAGCACCGTCAACTGTTGTCACGTTTTCTTTTAAAATGTCTTATTCGCGAGTCGCTGAAAATATTACTCCGTATTTTATACTCTACAGGTGCTATCAAACCAAAATAATAATTTATTGGTTAGATTAATATATTTAATTGTAATCAAAATATCAAGTATGCACCTAGTGTGCATTATCATTTAATAATAGCGTATAATAGATATCAATCAACTATTTTATATGTAGAAGCACTGAAAACTATTTATAAATGGCAACGGTTGTTTACATTTCTCTGTCTTATGGATCTACGTCAAACTTCAAATGCTGTTCCATGTTTGTTTACTTTTTACAGTAGATGAGGAAAAAGTTGTTTTTCGATATTTTGGCTGTATTTTGAGTGATATTTGTGAAAAGTGAAATAAAATAAACGAAATATTTACATCCCGATCTCTCATTTCATTTGTAAGTACATACAATTTACATTATTTAAAATGAGGAAATGGGGAAGCGTGTTTGTTTACGTTTTAATAGGCGTACCATTGGGTTTATTCATGTTCATTAATGTATTGAATAAGATATGAGTTCATGAAATTAGAAGACATTTATAAATTGTAAGTAGACATCATCTGATTAAAAAAGATCTGTTTAGTACCTTTTTAATTTAATATTTCTCATGGATACAAATAAGTTAGTGAAATGAATAAAACTTATTTATTTTTCTATGTAGGTTTCCAAATAATATTGACGATCGAACTATTTGGGTAGCAAATTTAGGAGAAAACATAAAGATTTTTTATTGTAACATTATTTTGATACCTATTAAAAAATTAACTTGAATTCAACTATATTTAATTGTATTAATTTTAAAGCAAATAAAATTGTATTTAAATTTTTCTATAAAGACGTGATTTGTTAATAGTTAAACTCTCGTTTTTTTTTCAAGCACGCTTATGCTCTTTGCGGAAGCATTGCATTCTATCGAAGCTTCAAAACATTGTGTGTTAAAAGTATCTAATTGCTGTGTCCATCTATGTTTATACGTCCATGCCCTCTACAGTCGTTTGCATTTTTATGTTACTGCCTGTGGGGGTTTAACAAAATAATGTACTATTACGAATTAATAGTACTAAGATTAATACCAGCTATTCCTTCGATAGCTCTGGCAAGATAAATGAACTTTCACTCATAGGTGCAAATAACAAATAATATAAAATTTAAATGGTTGCAAAAAACAATCAAAAAACAAACAAAGGTATTAAACTAGGTGAACTTACCGAACCGCTAATTAGGTACCATAATTCACTACTATAAAACCAACCGATTTCGATGCATCGACGCACTCGCGAGGGTTGTGTCTTGCGTCTATTCTGCTCAACGACTTAAGCGCTTGTGTCCTACGGGATGCATAGCATACCCGAACGGTACGAATAGGGATCGAAGGTATACAGGGGGAGGACAAAATGTCTTGATTAATTTATACAACCATATTTGAATTTAAACATTCTCCCCCCTTTAAAGGCCATAAGGTCTTTAAAAAACAAAACGAATTCTAAATACTATCATTACTTAAACAATCAAAACGATAATTACTACAAACAATTCCTATACAAATATTAAACAAATATTCAAAACTTAAACTAAAAAATAAAAAAATTAAAATTAAAATGGTGGTTTTGTCGTGGTTCTATTCATAAAAGCCGAACAAAACAAAATCAGTAAAAAAAATGCTGACCATTTAATCTTCATCTATCGGCACGGGACAGATTCGGACAAGAGGCCGTTTTAAGGTTCCGGTAATCGTACGCACGGTAGCCACTCGAGCTACACCGTCTTTACCCTCATGTAATTCAACAAGACGCGCGAGAGGCCACTTACACGGAGCCAAATTATCCTCCTTTAAAACAACTATGGTGTGTATGGTGCCGATTTTAGGTACAAAACTAGGATCTAACCATTTACACTTTTGTTGCAAGGTGTGCAAATATTCCTTTCGCCATCGAGCCCAAAAGTCTCTATGGATGCGCTGTAACAACTGCCATCTGGACAAACGATTGAAGGATACCTCCGAAAAATCAGGCACAGACGAAGATGTCAAGGGTTCAAGAGTCAGGAAATGTCCTGGGGTCAAAGCATTGAGATCTTCAACATCATTGGTTAAAGGGGTGAGAGGGCGTGA